AATGTGTCAATGTGTCAATGTGTCAATGTGTCAATGTGTCAATGTGTCAATGTGTCAATGTGTCAATGTGTCAATGTGTCAATGTGTCAATGTGTAAATGTGTAAATGTCTTTTTTCGGTGGACAACGTTAATGACATTGATTGTATATATTTATCAACTTTGGTGGATTTTTACTATTTAATGTGATTCCTAAGAATTCTTACCGATGACGTTATTTTAACATGTGAAGATATCATTTTTTAATACTAGCGAAAATTAGATAATTCATCGATAATTATATATTTAATTATATCATCACTCTTTAGTATAAATACACAGGTGATTATAGAAAATCTCGCGCGCTGATTGGTCAAGAAAAGCCACACTATCACACGATAATCACCTCGAGTAAAAATCCAAAAATGTTTTTGTTGTTGTTGAAAGAATCACCTGTGTATTTACATTAAAACAATTATTCGCCGAAGGCGAAGTGCTTATTGGAGAATATTTACCTCGCCGCTCGAAGACTCGCGTCTCGGTAAATATTCCCCTATAATCACTTCGCCTTCGGCGAATAATTGTTAAATAATCCCATATAAGCAACTATTGTATGATTTTCAAATTCTCTTTCCTGTCCAAATCAAAGATTAATTTGGATCGTTTCCATTCGCATTCTTTTGAGGGAAAACTAAACTATGACTTATGGAATCAGTCTAGTATAGTTTGGAATGATATATTTAATCTGCAATAGGACTACATGTCTGTCCAATTTGGAAATAATTGAATTCAAAAAATTCCTCTGACCGCCAAACTACTATGAGTACTCACCCCACGATCTGTCAGTCATGTTCACGACAGAGTAAACAGTTAGCAGCAAGTACCCGGATGGTAGACACAACAGGTACCATATACCATTCAACAAACATAAAGCCTCTTTTGGATGCAACATGGCCGCAATAAGGAATATCGCAACCAAGCCTCCGAGATAGAGGGTACTTATTCCTGCCGGTAATTGTTTATGGAGGTCGATCTCTAACGTGTAGTTGGCTAGCCTGTTTTCTTCTCGTAATTCTTCTCTATCTTTGATTTCCTTATTGATTTGTACTGCGAGACCGATCGTGACGACAATCATGATGACCGCGAAGATGAAAGTTAGAAATTTGGCAACGGTGATTTGAGTAGCTGAAAAAAATTAAAGCAAAAGGTAAAACGATAAGTAAGCAAAAGGAACAAAAAGAAAGGGAGGAAAGAGGGAAGGAGGGAAGGAAGCAAGGAAGCAAGAAAGCAAGAAAGCAAGAAAGCAAGAAAGCAAGGAAGCAAGAAAGCAAGA